AATTTAAATAAATTTAAATAAATTTAAATAAATTTAAATAAATTTAAATAAATTTAAATAAATTTAAATAAATTTAAATAAATTTAAATAAATTTAAATAAATTTAAATAAATTTAAATAAATTTAAATAAATTTAAATAAATTTAAATAAATTTAAATAAATTTAAATAAATTTAAATAAATTTAAATAAATTTAAATAAATTTAAATAAATTTAAATAAATTTAAATAAATTTACATAAATTTAAATAAATTTAAATAAATTTAAAAATAAATTTAAAAATAAATTTAAAAATAAATTTAAATAAATTTAAATAAATTTAAATAAATTTAAATAAATTTAAATAAATTTAAATAAATTTAAATAAATTTAAATAAATTTAAATAAATTTAAATAAATTTAAATAAATTTAAATAAATTTAAATAAATTTAAATAAATTTAAATAATTTTAAATAAATTTAAATAAATTTAAATAAATTTAAATAAATTTAAATAAATTTAAATAAATTTAACTAAATTTAAATAAATTTAAATAAATTTAAATAAATTTAAATAAATTTAAATAAATTTAAATAAATTTAAATAAATTTAAATAAATTTAAATAAATTTAAATAAATTTAAATAAATTTAAATAAATTTAAATAAATTTAAATAAATTTAAATAAATTTAAATAAATTTAAATAAATTTAAATAAATTTAAATAAATTTAAATAAATTTAAATAAATTTAAATAAATTTAAATAAATTTAAATAAATTTAAATAAATTTAAATAAATTTAAATAAATTTAAATAAATTTAAATAAATTTAAATAAATTTAAATAAATTTAAATAAATTTAAATAAATTTAAATAAATTTAAATAAATTTAAATAAATTTAAATAAATTTAAATAAATTTAAATAAATTTAAATAAATTTAAATAAATTTAAATAAATTTAAATAAATTTGATTAAAATAAATAATTAACACTTCTTACGATTCGTCCTAACATAAAAAATATGATGAGCTAATTCATAAAAACGATAAATTTCGATTTCCTAACACCTTAACAGCCTAGTCCTCCACTTGAACTCCAATTTCGACTGCAAACGATCGTCGTTCGTGCATCGTCGGTGCCTTGCTGTTTAGAGTTATAACCTTAATAGTATGTTCAAGTAGCGATAAATATTGATGTACGCCGATTTTATTTGTCTTTTTTTATTTTAGAGTGAATTAATATAAGAAGTTTTACTTCACTCTTTTTTTAATACTTAGTTTTTTATGCTACTGATATTATTCAAAATAACTTTACTTAATGGTTCTTTCGTCATTTATAACCGAGATACAGGTAGTTTTATTAACTTTGCTAATTTCTTTCTTGTTTCATAACTTACCAACCACCCTTACATGTTATTAAAATTTGGCACATGTATTCTCTACAACTTACCATAATCTATTAAGGTATTAATAAGAAACAAAATGCAGTTCCATCTTTTCAAAAAATTTAAAAATTTGTCTATCCTTATAAGTCGTTAAATTTGTATCCATATTTGGAAAAAGCACAAAAAAAATAATTATATGCTATTAATTTTTACTAGATGATTTTATTACTAAAATTAACTGTTTTTATATTATTTTTAAACTAAGCACATTTTTAAAAGTTACATGTCATGCGTGTACACTACAATAAAATGTACTTACAAGTCCATAATTATGACCAAATATAATCATTACTTTTTAATTAATCTAGGCAAAATTGATTTAAAGCATTACTTTTGGTAGGTACTGATAGGCACAGATATATAAAAGTACCAACATAATATATGACTTTTAAAAATTCAGATGGAATTAAATTATCCTCATTATAACGTATTGAAGTTACTTAAAAACCCCTTTAGTTTCATTTTTTATCTCCAAATTGCTCAAAAATAACAATTTAAACGTTATATTTTAGCTGTAAAATCATTGTACAAAAACATGACTAATTTTAGTTTTTTCTGGTCTCTTTAAATATGGAAACGAACTTAACTAATTTAGAAATGTAATTTTTTGTTTAACTCAAAAGTAACAATTTGAAGTTAAAAATGTTTGTAGTAAAATACATTCACAGACCTAAAATTTGATCCATTCAAAATAATGATTTATATAAAAATGATCTAACTTTCAAATGCGGAGGCTTATTTATTTGAAGTTTTTAGCAACTTTTAGATAAAATACTTAGTTTTTAGATTATTATTCGGACATCTAAAAGTAATTTAGTACTCGCCGGATATACGGGGGGGAAGAGAACAATTTTTTCCTCTACTTTTGACAAACCCTGTAGGTTAATTCTGCTAGTAGATCTGCATACAATTGACTTTATCAAGAAGACTGATTTGTTATCAACACTTTGTTTTTTTATTTACCCCGATATCTTAATTTTTTGTGAAATGTGACGGTTTAAAGAAAATGCTACATTTTAGAAACGGTCATAATTTAAATGACGGTGGAGAATAAACTACAAAATAAGTAGAGTGCTGTGGCCAACTCACAATATGACAACTGTCAAATATTCGTTACTTGGTAATTGCAGTTTCATTATTATTCATTATCAGCATAATATCATGGTTTTAACGCTTACTGATGCAACATGAGCAGTTGCTCTGGTACAAGACGGTAGGACTCAGTATTATACTTCTAGAATATTGGGTGTTACAAGGTGTAGCGTCCAGAGAGCTGTACAAGGTTTTAATGAAACTGGTAGTTTTTCGAGACGAAGAGGATCTGGCAGACGACGTTCTATAAATGTTTGAGATGATCGTTTTGTAACATTAAATGTTTTGCGAAAAATAAATACTACTGCTGTCATGGTTCGAAATCGTTTAGAAGAAGTACGTCAAGTAGCTGTTAACGAAATAACGATTCGAAGGCGATTACGAGATCATGGATTACGCTCCAGAAGACCTGCAACTGGTCCGGAGTTACTTAGGAATCACAGAACAGCACGTCTTCGATTTGCCAGGGAGCATCAACATTGGAATATCGATGAATGGAGTAAGATTTAATTTTCTGACGAGTCAAGGTTTTGTTTACGTTCTCCTGATGGCCGTGAAAGAATATACCGAAGAAGAGGCCAAAGGTTTGACCAAGCAAATTTTTCCACAAGACTCAGTTATGAAGGAGGATCGGTAATGGTTTGGGGCGGCATAAGCATGGAAGCTCGTACTGATTTAGTCACTGTTGGCGGCGGAGCAATGACAGCTTTCCGATATATTCGTGATGTGCTAGATCCATATGTAATTCCATTTGCACCATTTATAGGAAACGAATTCATGTTTATGCATCACAACGCTCGACCACATATTGCGAGGATTGTATCTCAATATTTAGACGAAACAGAAATTCAGAGGATGAACTGGCCATCACGTAGCCCAGACCTCAATCCAATTGAGCACGTCTGGGACATGATGTACAGACGAGTTCATAACCGAGTTCCTTCTCCAAGTATTTTAAATTTTTTAAGAGATGCTTTGGTCCAAGAATGGGATCAGATTGACCAGATGAAGATTCGATATCTAATAGAGGGTATGCCATGATGCATTGAGGCAGTTATTCGCGTTTGTGGGGAAAATACTCGTTATTAATTTGTAATAATTATTAGTCTATTTGTTGTTTGAGTTATTTATAAAATTATGTATTACTCTGCTAAAACTGAATAAAAAAATTAAGATTGTTGCATTTTCTTTAAACCGTCACATTTCACAAACAAATTAAGATATAGGGGTAAGTAAAAAAACAAAATGTTGTAAACAAATCAGTCTTCTTGATAAAGTTAATTGTGTGCAGATCTGCTAGCAGAATTAACCTACACGGTGTGTCAAAAGTAGAGGAAAAAATTGTTTTCTTTTTCCCCCTGTATATCCGGCGAGTACTAAATTATTTTTACATGTCCGAATAATAATGTTAAAACTACAGTATTTTATCTAAAATTTGCTAAAAACTTCAAATAAATCAGCCTTCGCATTTGAAAGTTAGAGCATTTTTAAATAAATCATTATTTTGAATGGATCGAATTTTAAATCGGTGAGTGTAGTCTTTGCGCAAAAATAATAAAGACCGCTGGATTTATGTTTTGGGTACTTCTCAGGTAATGTTAGGTTAGGTTTGTAAACTGGTCGTGTTAATGCACTTGAAACTGGAGAATCAACCATATAAGGTCGATAGATACTTAAAGTAGTTCCAACGAACATGTAAAAGATATTAGCAGGAGGCCGGCGATAACTTGCTCAGGTGGTGATTTTAGTGGGTAAAGGGTAAAACTATTGGGAAAGGGAGAACCTGTACCGAATCTCTATAAGGGATTTCCACATATCAAAAAAATATCAAGAAGTTACTTCATCGAAAACTATTTTTTGGGCCAGTGTATCTAAAAATATACACAATCGAGAACTAAAAAGAAAATAATTTGAAAATGGAACGATTATTTTATCACATACAAAACAACAAAAGAAATCACATTGGAATAAAAAACAATAAGAAATCGTAGAATTTGAGGGTGGGCTTTGGCGCTGAACGTGTTAAATGTTTAGGATGTAATAAGATACTTGATTTAAAAATGTATCTATATACTTGCTGGATGTTATAAGAATGGCAGTTTTTCTGTAGAAATGGTATACTGTGACGTAACAACTGGATGTCACAAGATGCAAGGTTTTTCTGGATGTCACAAAGTGTTGTTAATAAAAATATATACCGTGTATACTTTGGATCTCACAACGATAGGACGTTTTATTTTTTTAAAATGTGTATGGTTGTGATATTTTTCGCTCAGCCATAATATTTTTTTAATTAAAAGAAGTCATATTTTTATTTTTTTCCTAAAGTCTTTGCAAAGGGTGGATGTCACAAAGTCAAAATTTTTGCTGGATGTCACATGATACGCTGGTCGAGTATATATATATATATATATATATATATATATACAATATTTTTTAATTTGTAATTGTAGAAATAATATCTATCCTAGTGATGTTTTCAGATTGCAGAAAAAGAATCAGAAATCACAGACTATAAAGAAAAAAATAAAAACCTAGAAGATCTGATTACTAATTTTCAAAAAGAGTTGGCTAAGAATGAGAAGTTCCGAAATGAAGAACAACAAAGGCATAAAAACATTGAGCAGGATCTACAAAATAAAGTTAAAGAGCTGTCATTACATAATGCAGTTAAGCAAAATTGTTCAGATTTTTCTGAAGAAAATGTAAGAAGCAAAATTTAAAACCATTATTTTTTAAACGTTTTCCCTTGAAATTTATTATCACAATACCACCCAAGTAACACACAAAGTTATAAAATGTTGGTATAATTAATTAAAACGTTACAAAACACACGTAAACGACACTTTACAACTTTTTAATAGTGTAGTAACTAACAGGACGACGTTTTTGTTAGAATTTGTTGAGTAAGATTTAATTAGAGTTGTAACAACGTTAATTTATAAGAAACGTATAACTAAATTAAGTTTCTTTAAAATGTACAATATATGTGGTTGTTATAACGTTTCTATAACTTTTGAATTACAACTACTTGTAATAGATACATATTCACTTAATAATACCGTTGTAAACTGTAGTTACTATTATGACAGTTTTCCACTAAACGGACAGTTGAGTTTATTATTTTGTTTGTGTTTTCTGGAACTTGAAAAACAAAAACCAAACTAAAACAAACTCAAAACTCTTGTTTCCATCAAACGGACTACATTTTGTTCCAGTTCTGTTTTTGTTTTCGATCTTTTTCATCACGAGAAAGTCGGAACACATGAATTGTTTTCAATAACCAACCAATATGTTTAGAGAAGATTTTTTTATTCTTAGTTGTGGCTGGTTTATACTAGGGTCTTTGGAAAAAAGTAAGTGTATATTATACATACAGTTATAATATAGTGTTTACTTGGTTACCCAGGCAGCACACTTTGGTATAAATTACGTATTTTTTTAGGTACTACCATACGTATGAATACGGTTGATGTACTACCAAATATATTCGTGAAAATGTCCGCCTTATAAACGTCGATTACTAAGAATTTATGCACCTATAATTAAACGTTTTTACTATACGTCTATATTAGATTTATAGTTTTAGTATATTTATACGAATTCACTTTGGTATAAAATACGTTTTTATGTACTACAATAAACGTATGGATACTGTTGATATGCTACCCAATATATACGTGAAAATGTCCGCTCTATAAACGTATATTTTTTTAATTTTTTATACATCTAACATTACTACTTTATCTACCTTTAATTATCCTGTTTTACTATACGTGTATATTAGATATATTTGTATGATTTTTATTAATGTGCAAAATGCGTCTACCTGAAATTATTTTAAATGTATTTCAAACACAAATTAAATAAGGTGATCAAAACAAAATTTCTAAAAGAGGCCATGGAAAAATGTTAATATATCTTAAATGATAGTTTGGATTTTATCCATAGCAGGTGTGTATACACCAGAAATAGGCATTACTCGTGTTTCTATTTTGGTTGTAATTGGTCTAAATATTTAGAAAATTTTTTTGATCACTTGTTATATGTACAGAACAATATTTAATTAAAAAAAAATAAACAATAAAATACTAAAAAATAAATAAATACAAAAAAATAAACACTAAAATACTGAATAACAAACTAAACGAAACTTTTCTTTAACTAACAAAAAATATATATGAAAATAAAAATCTTAGCTTAACACTTTGGATGTGTTGTGTCCTAGAGACGGTCCTTAGCTAACTTAAGCTAATCTTGCATGGCACACCTAATCGTTCGGTAGGTTAAGTCGCTTGGTTCACCCCCTTTCCTATAACCAAAATGTAACTCAATTTCAGGTGAAATATTTTCTAAAAGCTCCGAAGTTAAATTTGTATTATTTTCTTGGAAATTATTATAAAAAATCTGATGTGTCCAACACATGACTTTCCTATCTAGTTAACCTATTGCAGCATCTCTAAAAATGTTTAGAGGATAAACTAAATGTATACATTTTCCACATACATCTACTTCGAAACATTTTTCTATAGATATTCATTGAAAACGAAAATACTGAAAAATTTATATTTAGCACTTTTCCTCCAATTTTTCCATTACGGTCCATTTTAGAAAAGTCATTTAAAAACAAAAATTATAGAGATCGATATCGCAAACAACTTTTAGTTTAACAATTTTCTTAAAAATCAGAATTTTGCACATTTTGTCAAATTTAAATTTCTCGAATACGGACCATTTCAGGAAAATTTGACATGTAACAAAAATTATAGATAATAATATTGTAAGTAACTTTTATTTGAAGAATTTTCTTCCCCAAACGTAAATAACGAATATATTCCATAAAATATAAAAATGACCACCAATAAAGTACCCCCCCAAATGTTCCGACTCTGTCCAAAATCTAACCAGATCACGTCAGGTCGAAATAAAACTTAAGTTTAAAATTTAATGTTTTTTCCTTTATCCGTTTTTGAGTTTTCTTCAAAATTCGAAATTTACACATTTTCTCAAATATCTCGAATACGGTCCATTTTAGAGAAATTATGTATAGGATAAAAATGATAGAGAATTATATTACAAACAACTTTTATTTGAACAATTTTTATAAAAAATTATTTTTTTTACATTTTGTCAAATTTCTCGAATACGGACCATTTTAGGAAAATTTTGCATAAAACAAAAATTATAGATAATGATATTAGAAGTAACTTTTATTTGAAGAAATTTCTTCTCCAAACGTAAATAACAGATATATTCCATAAAATATAAAAATGACCACCTATAAAGTACCCCCCCAGATGTTCCGACTCTGCCCAAAATCTAATCAGGTCATTGGACGCTGAAACAAAGCTTAAGTTTAAAATTTGGTGTTTTTCTGTTTATCGGTTCATGAGTTATGCGACCTACAGACACACACACACACACACACACAGACATCATCGCGAAAATAGTCAAAACGGATTCAGGGGACCTCAAAACGTAAAAATCCGTCGAAAACTCGAGGTCGAAAAAAATCATGATTCCTATACTTTCCTTATATCTGTATACAGATAGGAAAGTAATAATAGAATCAGATGATCTATTAATGTCCGAAGCCTTATTAATGTTATCTTCATTGGGAATAAAAAAAAATTGATTTGACTTTAAAGCTCTTGAACATTTTACGCTATTTTTCTACGTAGATGACGCAGAGACAGGGTTATTTTAGACATTTTATTAAATAAAAAACAACTGACCAAAAAAAAAGGAAAATAAGGGTGCTTGGAATAACTAGGCAACCTAAAAAATACGTATAAAAATAAAAGAAACAAAAGTAAGGTTATGTTTTGAAGTTTCTATAAGCATTTAACACACTGTACGTACCTATAAAACAGTAGTTGTTGTAAAATGCAACAATTATTAAAGGAGTAGCTAAATTAAATCATTAATAGAAACTTACCTATGCTTTTAATCAATATTGTAAAAGCCAGGACGCCAAAGAAACATACAACAAAACGTGTACACAAATGAAAATGGACGAACCGATGAACCTGCTCTCACAAACTATTCTCCACACTGAACAATAATACTACACATACGCATGAGTAGAAATGAGAATGAAAGACCGTACCACTAGTACGTCATCCGCCATCTAAAAATAGTTCCATGTGTATGGGGAATTTGTTATAAATATTACAGGTAATATAATTAAAAAAATATGGATGTAATGTAAATAAATATATCTATAAGCTTTTAATTTAAATAAACCTAAATATATACATATTATTTACTTCTGTCTACTAGTTCATCGTAAACTGGTATTATGCGTTTAAGGTGACTTATATTTAAACCTACAATAATATAGGTATATTAACTAGTATCGACAAACAAGCGTTTAATTTATCTGTTAAAAAACGTTAAGTATAAAAATGGTAGATGGTAAACGTTTAAAAAATCAACCAAGACGAAATTTAAACGGGAATTATAAACGAAGAAAACATATTGTAATATAATGTAAATTTATACGAATTTAATTTAAATAAACCTAAACGTATATTTAGGCCCACTGTATATAAATAGTTCATCGCAAACTAAAAATAGTCGTATATTGTTAACTATATTTAAACGTAGAAAAAATTACAATTATATATCATAGGATGTATATAAAAAACGTATAATATATCGTTTAAAACACGGTATGTATAATAATCGTAAACGTATACGGAATCAACCAATACCAAAATTAAACGAGTATTACGTATAAAATACGTTAGTTATACTAATGTGTGCTGCCTGGGTAGTTAATTGGTATATTATCCATCTATTCTATAAAATAGCCAAGTAATCACTAACTGTATATATTTTTTAGTAACTGTAATTTATTCATGATTAAAATATTATTTTTTAGGAAATATAGTCAATAACTTATTGAACAGATAACTCTTGTTGAACGTTTCAGAAACCATTTTTCTTTAGTTGTCCCTTTGTTAAGGCTATCGAACACATATCTACTGTTTAAGAAACTGGCTACGTCTAAAGTTAAATTTAATACTTTGCTATTGACTATTAAACAAACCAGTGTCTTTATCTTTTAAGATGTCCAAACTGAAAATATTTATAAAAATAGTTTAAAAGATTTATATGATATTATAGTCTGGCTCTGACACACAGATATTCCAGCGTTTGAGAACAAACTTAATATTTATCCAAAATTTAGATTACACAACAGCACAACACGAGCGTTTTCAGTAAACAGATTCGAGTTTCTAAACACGTCGAAACCTTTTGATGTTACCGCTTCAGAGCGGGACTCGAGAAACAAAACTCCAACTGTCGCAGAACACGCCAGACTTCAAAAAGTTTGCGAAAAGTTTCAGTTTTGTTTTTTTTGAACACGAGTTTCTGTTTTGTTTTTGTTTTGTCCGTTTGATAGGAAACCAGGTTTATCCAGAAAATTATTATATGGTTAAACTAAGACAAACTGCTTAAGTGGTTCTTTTGTTTTAAATTAAAAAATACATCCTTACTGTAGAAGTCGAGTTTTTAAAAAAGTTGTTGCACCGTCGGTATAACCCTTGCATAACTTTTTGTGTTACTTGGTCAGTAATCAAGATTGCTTGAATAATTTATGCTTATATATTTTTATCCACTTAACAGCTTTATGTATAGAGTGGTCTATTAGAGGGTCCCAAAAAGCATTTATTTTTAAAAACACATGGTTTTAAATAAATAGTAAAATATACACAATTAGACCACTTTATGTACCTAAGCAGATTTATTAGAAGCAAATAAATTTTGCAATGGGCCCGTTCACTTTCATTTTTGAATGTGAATTAATTATATATTTATAAAGATATTAAACTCTTTTGTCTGGTGGTACTTTTCCCGTTAAGATATTTTTGCTAGAAGTAAGGGAATTCCCATAAAATTCTTTCAGTGACTCATTGCGTCAGAAAACCCCTAATTCCCTTCAGGTCTCGTATCGGTTAATAGTTAAAAGGGCGCGGTTGTCGGGTGTATCATTGCACCACCATTCCTCTTCTGCATTTATTAAAGAAATTTACATTATAAAAATATATTATTTTTTAAAAATAATGTGGTTATATTTTCAGATAAAGCTGGAAGCCTTACCTTTTTTAAATTTTAATAAAAACAATTAGTATTACTCAAGCTGAATATTACCAGATCGAAATTTTATTTGATAAAAAGTATCTGGTAAACGTGACAACGTTGAAAGTACTTCTAAATAGTGTTGTCTACACACACTTCTAGAAATAAATGCAACGTTGCCACGTTTACCAGATAAATATTGCAAATCAAATTTCTACTTTTTGATTATGGTCTGGTTAATTTTCAGCCTGAGTAATAATAATTGTTTTAATTAAAAAGTAAAAAATAAGCTCCCAGCTTTAAATCTGAAAATATAACATCACGATTTTTAGAAAAATAATGGAATTTTACTATTTAAATTACATATATAAATGCAGAAATGGTATATTAGGGATACTTCCGACAACCCCACCGTCTTTAAGCATAACCGATACAAGACGTGAACGGAATTAGGGATTTTCTGATGCAATGAGTCACTGAAAGAATTTTATGGGAATTCCCTTACTTCTAGCAAAAATATCTTAACGGGAAAAGTACCACCAGACAAAAGAGTTTAATATCTTTATAAATATATAATTAATTCACATTCAAAAATGAAAGTGAACCGGTCCATTTGTGTAAGCCTAAAGGTAAAATATGTTTTCAGACTAAATATTGGCAAACTGAAGCAGAGAGATGGAAAATAGAATGTGAAATTCTTAAATCTAAACCAAGTTCAAATGATAAATTAACAACCTTTTATGAAACTCAACTGAGTCAAATATTAGAATCAAATGCATTGTTGAAATCTGAAACTAAAACAGTATGGGCAGAAAATATATCACTAAAAGCTAGGTTAGAAAATATTACATTAGAACACAGTAAGCTTAAGAATAGTTTAGAAAGCAGCTATGAAGAATTAATGACGACTAATAACAATTATAAAGGTCAACTGGATGCCATGACTGAACATCTTGCGGCTCAGAATGAAAAAATTACTAAACAATGTGATGAAATACAATTTTTGAAGCATAAGTTAACCTCAAAAAAATAATCAGGATTTTCTTCTTTCAATAAGGGCTGTGATCAGAAAAACAAAGAAAGTAGGACATATTAAATTTGGGATCATCTTTAGCCCAGCGATGAAAGTAATGATTCTTTGATGTAGAAGTACTGTGATATCTTAATCAGAATATTTTAGAATTAGAATCACATCGGATCTTTTTTTAACATAATTCAGTATTAGACAGAGATTATAAATACAGTTTATTACATTAAGTTTACATCTGTAAGATTAAAATCAAACAATATGATTTAATATTAAGATTAATCTAAAATACAATTATAAGAATTTCTATCTAAGATGGCCAACCACACATTTTTAATAAAATTAATAATATAATTATTGTACTCTTATTTCTATAAATAATTATACTAATCCATTTTTTTAAAGAAAATATTTTCTAGAATCCTATTTTATATTTATTCAATCAGAAAATAAGTTATTACCATTTTTAAAACACTCTTATAGGGCTGCAGTGGTTTAATATAGAGAATATTTCAAGGTACAATCGGTATACATAACTGTGATCTGGTACAAATTTATCCCATAATCAGGGTAAGGCACTATAAATGAAACATATTTGAATATCTTCAAGGATAAATGCAGGAACATGTCGATCTTTATTCCAATGGGAACACACCTCTATCAAATTCTCAAATGTTATATGTCATGCACCTGCTCTCCATCCATTTAAATAGGGAAAGTAGATTTGAAAAGAGTTGGACATTATTTGTCAATCGAAAAAGTAATTTAATGGGAAATTTAGCAATGTGACTGATTGTGTTGCTTTGGAATTTAGCGCCATCTTGCGGGATAAAAAACCTTAGTTATTGTAAAGCGTGACTGATGTGGCACTTCATTTGAAAGCTAATTTAATTAGTAATTTAATGCATAGCGCTTTTTTTTAATAATAATCGCCAACAATGGAAAAACTCTGTCAATCACAATGGACTATGATTTTTTAATTCTAATAATATTTTTTATTGGACCAAATACCCAAACGGCCATCGACAGAAGTCGTTCAGCTTGTGAAACTACAAACTAATAGATTTAAGATTTTGTTCATAAAAAAAACTAACATGTTAAGATGTTTCTAATTATTTTGATTTTAATTTACTTCTGTAGCATTTCTGAGTTTATAGCAATGGAAATTTATTGCGGCCTGTTAGTAAAGCATTACTACCAAATTTATAAAAAAATCAAGCAAATGACAGAACCTATTGTGCTGGTTCCAAGTTTTGAACAAAATCAATAAAATACCCTATAACTGAAAACAAAACGTTAACCTTTTAAGGACGGCTGACTGATATATCAGAAATGCTTAACTTGGGCCTACCGACGGCTGACGGTTATATCCGTCTCATGATTAAGTTTGTCTCTAGACTGTTACCTTACATTTACTACACATTCGAAAAATTTACGTGGTACACAGAGTGCTGCCGGCTAAGTCAGTAAAAAAAAGACGCTATGTGTACGGCTGACGAAAAAGTCAGTCACTGACGGAAATTCACGACGGCCGTCTTAAAGGGTTAACTCAATATGAGATATAAACCAGTATGTCGATTTTACCTTGGAATGTCCTGAATACCTCGGGATTTCAAATAAGGCTTCATTATTGTTTTATTTTTTTAAGAACAAATTAGAAACAAGATATTTCAGTACTTACTATAATACACCTATGATTGAGATTGTTTTTAAATCGATTTTTATTTATTAATAATATATATTTTTGTAAAAATAAAAGTTACTCTAATTTTATGTCTCAATGCATTGTGGTATCGAGCAATATTACAATTAATTGTGCATGCATGCAAACGTAACATTCCATTGTATATTATATATTTATATATTACAGACTTATATACATTTTATTTAATAAATCAAGTTAATTTGTATGTTTAAGCACATAATACAATAGTGTGAACCCCTTTGTGTTTAATTTATTTGTACAGCAGGCACATTTGCAGATGATCTCATTACTTTAGCTATGCCCTTGAAGATCCTCTAATTGCTTCTGCAAACCTACAATCACGTAGAAGAATAGACCAAAAGATAAAATATGAAGATAAACGAAAGCAAATCACATTCATCTTGGTATTTAACTAGAGAGAACACATAAGTTAAAAATAAAACGGATAAATCTAAAAATAAAAGCTGTACTGGTTGCTGCCATAAAATAATATTATTAAAAAATAAGATACTACAAAGCAGTAATCATTCCAATCTGGACTAAAATCCAGAAAGTGCAAAACTGTTGCCTTCGTTTAATTTTTAGCATTCCTCGGAGACAAAGGATATCGCATAAACTTAAGGAAATTGGATGGTTAGATATGAACAGTAGAAGGGTGTTGCATACTGTGTGTCTTGTCCATAAAATAATGACTACAAAAAAGCCATCATATCTTCATCAAGAAAATACAGTATCGCACGGACATACATAATCTAAATATTAGACATAAAAATACGATTATGGTGCCAAAATTCAAATCAGAGATGTTTAGGCGATCCTTTGTATATCAAGTTGCTCACATATATATCTCTGTCCCTTAAAAATTTAGGCATTTAAATGTTTCAAAACTGAAAACAATGTATAAAACACACTTGTTAAATCTAAGAACCACATAACACATCAAAGTTACAGACCAATTTGTTTGTTGCACTCTTAACAGATACTCTGCCGGTTAAATATTAAATATTTCAATTAAAATATTTTTTTTCCTTTTTTAGGGCTAAGTGGAAGAACATTTTTTGCATTCGTAGGAATGCAAAAAATGAACTTCGCCCTTTATTTCAAATGTTAATTTATTTCTATTGTACGAATATATATGTGAACTTTTGATTTGAAATAATAAAAACGATATTATTATTATTATTATTATTATATGGCATCGAGTTAGGGGAGAGGCCTGCACGAGCAAGTCTACAAAAGAGTCAAGTCAAAAATATCAGGTAAAACAGGAAACACATCAATAGCATTTTACAACAAAGAAAACTGAAGACTGAAAATAAAATGGCCAACAGACCTCAATATTCTAAATCCATTGTAACAAAATTAGATATAGTATTAATGTAATAGTGTAAAATCACTTTAGACATAATAAGAAAGGTGTCGGCGTCTGTCGAAACTATGTGGTAGTATAGGGCCAAAAAACAAATTTGCCAGAACATAATGCGTTTTGAAAATGTCTGTAGCGAATATTTCTATAGTTGCGACTTGTTTCTTTCCGTCAGAGCATGTGTTCAACTGCCCGCCTGTTAATTGCCGATGCAGTCAGTGCTGCCAGATCAACTGTTTTAACTATAGTTTGATTTAAATGGTCGCTTCAAAATCCAGGAAAACCAATTACGTTGTATCAAATAGCAGAAATTATTCAGAAAGGCTTGCCAAAAGTCTTTACTGAACAGAATAATATTACAAAGGGGTTTCTGTAACAGACATTTGCCCTCTAAATATCGAAATATATGATAAAGGTGAATTTTTAAGCGCCTTTGCAATAGATCGACCAGAGACAGACATTTCAAATTAAGTTGTAAATCGGACTGAAATTTTTGACGAACCTGGCATCACATCAACCTCAAAATATATCTCCAAGGCAGGTAAGGTCTGTGTATCTGTAACGTGTGGAGGGTGGTTGACCCATGGCACGCAAGCCTCACGGCCCATTGTGCATCCTCCTAAGTGGATAGGCACCTCCTAGCTCGTGAGTCAACCTATTCGCCAATACACTTTTTGAGATGAACAACTGGTATGAGATTGTCCTCCTTTCCTCTACACTCCATAGGCAGAACGTAATAAGTAACTAATAATAGTTTCATATAAAATCTTAACAATCAACAAAAATAAAAGGTGGTTCAAAGAAGCAGGTCTCCAAAAATTGTAAATGCTCTAAAACACGAAAAACTTTTTCTCGATTTTGGCGCAAGAATGCCATTCTCGCACGCAAAATCGTTGAAGAATGAAACTCACTCTTAAACGATTTTTGGTGACATTTTTCTGTGACATTTCAGTTGACATTCACTAATAACTGCCAGTGGCAAGGGCTTGTAAATCTGAGGAGGTTGCAACATAGCCTTTCATCTTGGATGCTATCTTTATTTGAAATAATAGTTCCAAGCCTACCAATTTATAGAAAATGTATAAACGATTTTTTTAATAATATTTTTATTGTGTTCGACATAAAATATTTAAATTTAATCCAGTATTTATGATTTCACGTATTTTATTTAGACAGCCTACATCGTATGTCGCAACCCTCTAGACATACCAAACCTTATCACCGCGTTTCATTTGTTTGGAATGCCTGATTAATTCCACCTGACAGTAACCAGAGCTGGACGAACCCTCAAAAATATAGTTTAAAAAAACTAAAAAACACGCTTTTAGAGCATATCAAACTAAAAAGTGAAAAATAATTTTTTTTAACACGCTTTTATTCAAATAAGCTTAAAACAATAATAAATGGAAAATACTATATAGTATTATTGTGAAAAAAGCGTCGGGCGCTCGATGTATGAGAAATATGGACAAAACGCCCCACGCTTTTTTCACAATAATACTAGTATTTTCCATTTATTATTGTTTTAGGCTTATTTGAAAAATTATTTTTAACTTTTTAGTTTGATATGCTCTAAAAGTTTAGTTTTTTTAAACTATATTTATTTTTCACTTTTTAGTTCGATTAATTAACCCTTTAAGTGTTGGTGGTTTCTATATGGACCATGGTTCTTAAGGTAAAAAATTGCCTTTACAGTAACGCAATTTTAAGCCTAAGTGAAAGCTAATACACTTCACAAACGCTCAGTGGCTATGCTCGAGACCACTTGCCGCCCAGGTTATATAGGCAACAAATATTTCACCTATAAGTGGTCTTGTAGGAGACCACCTTTATCTTAAAAGTAACATTTGTTGCAATTTTTTCAGAGGTTGGTTTTTTCTTGATTTTCCCGTTGGTAATACAAAAAATTAATAAAATCTGTGAATTGTGTCATTTAGTATACGTTGTGACGGGTAAGTTATATAATTTGGAAGTAAAATTAGTGTTAATTTTAACCGATAGATGAAAAAAATAAACTGGTTTGAATTCTAACCTAAAAAATATTGTTTTTTGATTAATGTTTTTATTGAAATAAAATGATATTGGAAGATTTCTAACATGCAAATATACCACCTAAGACATTAGTTTTACATATGATAATACAAAATTTGCTCTAAATTTTACCGCTTTGAAAATATTATCGGTTGTTTTAGTCCGGGCGCACTTTCAACGTTAATTTTTAGTGCTGCTGTAAATAATCATTTTCTTTTCAGAGAAAAATGAGTAAAAAAAAATGGTCTTATAAGCAGTTAGAAAGCATTAGATATGAGAAATTCAACAAATTGTTTGCACTTGATGATAGTCAAACTAAAGACTCTAATAAATAGAAATAAAATTTAAAAAATTGTTTGTAGAAGCCTTACTGTTGAAAATACTGTCCGAAAAGTAGATGTTGGAAATCACCTTCCACTGCAAGGTACAAAGCGTAGGTGTGCTTATTGCAGTAGGTACAACAAAAAAAGTTAGACGTACAAAACTTGCTTGCTCTGACTGTAACGTAGGTTTATGCATTTCATGTTTTCGGCCGTTTCATAATAAGTAAATTATAATATATTTTGGTTTTTCTTTGTTTAAAATTAGTGTTTATTGTTTATTAAATAAAATTTGGAAATATAAATAGTGGTTTCTATTGAGACCACCGAAATGTAATATTCCTTCAGTCATCTTAAAAAAGCAGTGGTCCCAAGAGGGACCACCCCTTAGAGAAACAATTTTGAAAAAAAATTGCCAAATTTCCTTGTCAAACAACCGATATAAACGGTTTTTTATAAAATTAAAACAAAAAAATGGTAATATTAAAAAAAATTTGCGACTTAAAGGGTTAATAAAAAAAATTTTTTTTTATCCGTGTATCGGTGAGACTGGCAATCCAAAACCCGGGATATCCTGACAGTAATAAGCCACTTGAGTCCAAAGGAGAGTTACAAACATACATACATACAGGTGAAGCTAATATAAGCGTGTAAAAAAAATTAATCCGAATCACAAGATGTGATTCGAATCACGGATCCTATGGCCGAATCCTTTTTGCAATAAAAAGGATTCGAATCCATTTTTTCGGATCACGAATACGAATCACTGTGTCATACCATGGTATTATGTATGCTTCCAAATCTAATATCAATATCAAATATGTGTCTATTACGGACTATGACTTGTATACAAATGGTTGATACAAGAAAATGTTGAAAAAAATAAACTTTTTTTTCTATAAATATGAACCATAAATAAATTAGAATCTACAAAAAATATATTTTATTTTAATGAAAAAAAAAATAAACAATGAAATAAAAATGTCTTTTGGTTGGTCTTACATAGCACCAGACGAAGGAAGGCAAGTGTTAAATTTTAGGATTTTTTTATGTTGTATATTCATTGCTAATTTGTAATGTCAAAGAAGGCAGCAGAGCACCTAGGCAATTTTAAGTTAAAACATATGCCATATTTTTAGGCTATTTTAAAGCTATTTTTATGTTTTGTTTTTTGCAAAAATCAAGGTGCTCTGCTAGCTTCGAACGAAGTCTGCAGAGCACCTCAGTTTTTTTTCAAAAACGACATAATATTTTTAGGATCTTAAAATATTATTTTTAAAAAATACAGGGTGCTTTGCTAGCTTCGAACGAAGTCAGCAAAGCACCTCTGCTCTAACAAAGCACCCGGTATTTTTTTAAAAACACTATTTTTTAAGAAAAGTTTTATAATATTTTAAGAGCCTAAAAAAAGTTTAAATATGTGACATAAGTAGATGTTTCCAGAAAAAAAAATTAAACCGAGCTGCTCTGCTAACTTTGTTTCAACAAAGCACCCTGTATTATCTAAAAATAGAAATTTTTAGTAAATTTTTAAAATATTTCAAGAGCTTAAAAATGCGGTGTGGTTGTTTGTAGAAAAAAAGCTTTAAAAAAATCCAGGTGTTCTGCTGACTTTTTCCAACAAAGCACCCTGTATTATTTATAAATAGTAATTTTTGGTAAAGTTTTAGAATATTTCAAGAGCCTAAAAATGCAGTGTGGTTGTTTAAAAAAAAAACTTAAAAAAAAACTGAGGTGCTCTGCTGGCTTCGTTCGAAGCTAGCAGAGAACCTTGATTTTTGCAAAAAAAAACGAGCATAAAATTTTTGAATAGGGTATAAAAAGTATGGCATAGGTTTCAACTTGCTGCCTTCTTTGACATTAATTTGTAGATTGTTACGTTTATCTTCTTAATATTAATAATCGGTCTTCAGTTTCAGTTTACAATTCGCGACAAGTCAAAGCGTGAGTCGACCGTTCGCGCAGGAGTAGTTTGGTCTCTAAAAGAATCCGAGACTAATATTGGTGATACGAATCCATAAGGATTTCCTCGGCGAATCCGGATCACGGACCCTTTTTAAGCTATTGCATAGCTTTTATCGCGGGCTTTGAGCGCGGCGATGGAATCAAGAAATTCCGTAACGCGTAACGAAAAAAAAAAAAAACCTAACACTCCCCACTCCGACCGGCACAGCGGTGCGGCGTTAAACAATATTAACTTCAATAAAAGAAAATTGAAAAATCGTAAAAACGACGGCACAGCGGTGCGGCGTTTCAGTTCGGCAGACTTCGGCACGGTGTTTGTGTGCGTGCGAATAGTCGTATGCGTCTCTTTTAGACACAATTTCGGAAAAATTGAATTTGAAAATGAATAATGATCCATAAGAAAATATGGGACCACCATTGACGCGGTATTTTCCAGATATTTAGAGGATATCAAGTCTCAAACGTATGTTTCTTATTTCAGTTACCATAAACCTATAGTTTCAATGATAAAAATTGCTGAATAACCTACATGTATTGAAAGATAATAAAAATATTTTAAACAATATTAACTTAATATTGTTTACTTATCGGTCACCACTCTCAAAAAGTGTAACTTGAATTAATATCAAAGAAAAAAAAATACTGCATAAATAATTATAATTGCATAAGTTGATAAAAAATGCTATGCAATAGCTTTACCGCGGCAGTCCCTGAGTGCCACACGTATTTTTTTCCTAAGTATTCGAATACCGCTCGCGGATCCTCAAAAAGGATTCGAATTCCTGGCTATATCTAGAGGTTCTGTATGAGTTATATCTAAAGAAGTTCAAGCTGCATCTAAAGAAGTTTATTTCAAGTTATATCAAGAGGTTTAGTTCGAGTTACATCTAAAGAAGTTTACGAGATTTAAGTTTATGAAGATTTATATCTAAGAGTGGTGCTACCCGAAGAGTATCGTTCGAGTCCCTTTGAAGAAGGCCTATGCAAATCTCTCCTTTATACTACCTCCTGTTATAACAGATAAGTCTATTTTTATGCAATAAACCATCTAAATTTGAATTAGTAAATCACTGTGAATTAGAATTTGTTACAGCCTTATCTAAAACTTGGTTTAAATATAATATCTTAATGGTTAGTGATTTTCTATATTTTTATCATTAACCGATAGTCAAGTATAGTAAGTTTTAAATATAGTGGTGCCCAACTTCTTGTTCAATGTAATAAGAGTTATTTAATAACCCACTCCCAAAATCATTTGAGCTTAAAACACTTTAAAAAATAGATAAAATAACAAGTATCATATTACAAAAATGGTGCCCAACTTGTATTTTAATATACTAATTCCTATCTGATTTAAGTTATTGTAAGGTTTACATAAATTATGAAACTTGTTAAAATATTTTAGATCGTGAATAAAAAGAAAACTGGATTGTGAAGGAATAAAATAAGTATGTAACAAAATCTCATCTTTATTAAAGTAATATTTTTACATATAAACATCTAAAATTGTAAGAAATTTAAATAGAAAAATATGTCAATAAAAAGTACAATGACATGGATTGGAATTAGAAACAAAAATCTCAAAAGAAAAGAGAGATACAGAGTATCAATCAATTTTTGTTCCTCTACTATCTACCATCAATACCAAATTGAAGTTTCAGCTTAAATATGGTAAAATATTCTCATAACAGCAAATACTCTTCAAATTCTTTATAAACTAGTTTGTTTGATTATGGAATATTTTATGTCAAAAACCATAATCATAAGCACACCTCGATTCCAACTTACATTAAAATATTAATCTAATCTGAGGCGCAGTAGTTATATTTGTTGGAATTTGACTACATGTCTTTAAAATAATTTGTATACTGATGTATAGAACAATAAATACAAAAACTGAAATGAAACTTTTTTTATAAAGCTAAAAAAAGATGAGAGCACCGAAGAAACAATAAAAACAGAAAATTCCCTTTCAATTTATTCTAATATAGAAGATAGAGAAAAAAGATTTATCGAAATATTTTCTAAGAAGCACTAACTATGGTCAGTGATTTTTGTAAATAATATCAATAATCTACAATTAAGTAAATTGTAATTAACTAATTTCTAGTAGTTTTATAAAAAAAACACTTATCATTACTGATTATCTAGGAATGGTATTAACTTTTGATTACTATTGTCAACCATGCATAAGATAAAATTTAATAAACGGTATAAAAACTCATACAATTTATTTCATAACAATTTTCTAGGATAATATACCAAGACCTTGATAATAGTCGGCTATTTTTGTCGAATCTAAATCTCGAGAATATTTTAATATCAATTTGATGAGACATAATTTTTGGCATTAATAATCTGATTAGAGCCCGAGAGCTTTAGCCAAAATTATGTAGAATCAAATTGTAAAATGTTCGAAAAATTTAGCAATAACAAAAATAGCAGAATAATTATCAAGGCCCTGTTATATTTGGGACGACTTTTTCCCTAGACTAAATATTGAATATTTCTCTAGAGAAATAGTCGCTGATATTTGGTCTAGGGAGAGAGTCAACAAAAAAACATTTGTGTTGTATGCTTTTAACATTGCCGATTTGCAAAGAGATTAACAATTTTGTTTTTCACATAAATAACTGTTGTCACTATACATACACAATAGTATTTTTACAGTGAACAATAAAAGTAATGCATAAATTCATTTTTAATATTTTAAGAAAAACCCTTCAATTTTGGTTTTTAAAACAAAACTCTCTGACGTAACAATTTTACTTCTTTACCTCAACTCTCTTAAAGAGGTGTTCTACACTCCTTTGATTTTTTGAATTTAAATATCTAATAAATAAAACGAAATGTACAATACTGATTAATATAGATTTTAAATCCATTTGAAATGAAGTATTAGAAGCGCTTTCCTTCTACAAAAAAAAATTATGAAGCTACTCCTCTAAGTAGATTGATGTAAAAGATGAAAGTTTTGTTTTAAAATCGAAAAAATCTATGTATTTTAGGATTTATCTTAATTATTAATAACATTAAAAATTAATATATGTATTCCTTACTTTTGCTGTTTACTATATATAATAAATATCTACTCCGATTATGGAAAAATATATAATAATAGAGTATTTATTAATATTGTATATTTGTTCTCATTGCTTTCTTGCATTTTTCTTTGTGTAAAAAATTTTAAGTGTTTTTTTTTCTGTTAAAAGAATTGAAAGTGATTTTCCGTACTGCAAAAAAATAAATAACATACAAAATTAATAGGAAGACATTAATTTGTTCACTAAACATAGGATATTACTTTAGATTTGTCAAAACCCCAAAATTTAAAAATGCCCCCCACTCACATATGTTTAATCTCACAATTTTCTATAACCAGTCTAATAAAATTTCTTGTTGCTGTTATCCTTGCTATCCCTAAAAAAAATAAAAAATTGTAAGCTAAGACAATGTATTTTAAATAATGTATCTTTGCTTTTGAACCTTTATAATATGTAATACAAACTATTTAAATGTGAAAATTTATAGAGGGTTACTCATCAGTAACGTCATATTTTTGATAAAGTATAGAGTTATGTAAAATAAAAAAAAAATTCATGTAACTTTTTTTCATGAACTCAAAAATTAGAAATATTATTATTGACTCTTTAAAGTTTTAAATGTGGATCTAATCTTATACAATCGATTAAGTAACACCCTTAAATTAGAATTATAACAAATGCATGCCAACAATTTCTCATAATACACAATGAATCTTAATTGTTTTTTAAAAGAAAATTCGGTATACCATCAAACCCAGAGTTAATTTATTTGGTAATTTTTATATTTTTTCAGATATTTCAGATACTAATAAATTTGGACAAGGTATATTATAGCAACTAAAGTTTCATGTTTTGGGTGTTACCTGATAATTGTTTTTCTATGTGAATCTTATGAGCAAACGTTTAACTTTATATTTTCAGTAGCGGTAAGTGACTACTGTTCTTGGGTTCGTTCTGTTTTGTATTCCTAACAAATAAATAAATAAATAAATAAGTAAATAAAAACAAACGAACAATATTTACTTACCTATACAAATTGTAAGCTAATATGATGGCTAGCTGTATAGCTGCAATTACCAAAACTGTTGTAACGGACACGCAATTTACCGTTGGACAGCCTCCGCCCGGAGGCGCGGTTATTTTTTGAGCTATTTGCACCATATTTGATTTGACATGATTCAAACCATCCCGCATTTCTGAAATGAGAGATTGCGTGTCATAACCGACAGATTGAACTTGGGCTGTTGGCTGCTTTGCCTGATTGTTAATAATAGTGTCAGCTCGTTGTTTTACTTCAAGAATGAATTGTCTGAAAAAAAAATAGGTATTCAAGAATTAATTGTATGCATAATCTTATAATGTGCATCAGAATGTCAATAAGAAGAGGACAAACTTTTCTATTTAGTTTTAAATAAAAATTATTCTCCATAAAAACTCTGCTTGGGTTTAAAAGACCAAAAACCCATTGGATTTGCTCAAAAAAATTATACAAGTTATTCAAAATGTTAATAATTAGTTTGAATGTTACGAATTTTTCATTCATTATAAATTACATTTTTACATTACAAACTGGGTCGCCTGAATAAAAAGCTTTTTAATACACCAAAAGTTGAACTGATTGTCATTGTACCAACACATTATTCTGGAAAATTTATAAACATCGACCAAATTATCCTAAAGGTATTTAGGTGACCCACCAGTCTTTATTTTATATATGAAAATCATAGTTAAGAATATAATAACACTCTCCCTATTCACCCCCTTACGAGCGAATTTAAACCACTGAAGTCGACTGAGCGACTTGTGTAGGGGAAAGGACGGCTATTCTTATTAATTGCCGTGGAGCTCCGGGGCAACTTAAAGATGATTGATGGCGCCATTTGATTTACAGGTGAGGAAAACCCGAAAACCCCCACCCACCATCAGAAAGCAACGTACCTATTAACCCAAAGCCACTCTAATTAACTTATTTCTCTTATTGGTGTAAGCCAGCGTTTCTGCTCCTAAACTCCTCGTGAGGAGCGCTAGCACATCAAAACGAAAAAAAAAAAAAAAAAAAAAAAAAACAATAATTACTATTAAACAAAAATTTAATTCACAGAAAGAAAAGCAAAATGATATTAATTCCGACATTACAAAAAATTAAGTAAGTACAGTAGTACACGTTTAAAATAATATTCTATTTATTATAAATATGATTGTATCAATAGGTACTATCAAATGCCAAATGAAACTAATAATAAACTCATCAGTACTAAATGAAAAGTAGCTTTAATAATTATTAGCGACTCCCTTGGGTCTGTCTCGCACAGCAAAGTTTTTCAAAAGAAGATTTTATATTACAAATAGCCACTCTCAGTTCTTTGTCTTTATTCAGTCGAGACCTATATTTTGTCTTTATTCAGTCGAGACCTATATTTTGTCTTTAAAGCAGTCACCGCAGAAAATCCGGCTTCGCAAAGGTAGGATGTTGAAAATGGCAATAATATGCGAAATGCTCTTGTTTTCAGTGGATAAAAGGCATCATCCACTCCCGCCCAAAATTCAAAGAGATTTATTACCAAATTCTCTCTTGATTTCGCCGCTTGCAGTAAAGTCTATGAATATTTCTTCTGCAGTTGAGAGACCTTCGGGAGTAATTCGAAATGGATCCCACTCGTAACTTGCTACCAATTTGTCGTCAGTAAGAAAATAATTTTTAAAATTCTGTGCCAACATGGCTAAATAACATTTTACTGTTACAAAAACAACTTTGGCATACTGTTCTCCTTCCTTGTATGTTTTGAAACACTCATTCACATTTGCAAACATTTCTAGTTTTTTTGTTTTACATTTCTGCTCCACAGCTCCAACTTTCTACAAAAAGAACTAACTTTATCACTGGTATCGAACATAGGTGTGTTTGCTCCTTAAAGTTATAGATTCAGGGTATTTAATTTCTTGAATATGTCGACCAAGTCCTCAATTTCGTCACAAATGAATCATCTCTAAACTTTTCGGCTTATGGGCGGTTTTCCTCTTCTAGAAAAGAAGCAATTTCCTCTTTTAACTCATAAACACGATATAAAAATTTCCCACGTGATAACCATCTGGCCTAGCAATAAAATAGCAACGTCGAATGTTCTGTACCCATATCTCTGAATGGTGCATTAAAGATTCATGATTTTGTGAATCACGCAATAGGTCCAGACACATTGCGGAGATTTTTGTTTTACAAGTGCTTGTACACTTTTGAATCTTCCAGACATTGTACGAGCACCATCGGTGCATATTCCAACTCAATTCTTCCACTCTGTTTGCCTCAAATAAAATCAATTAAAATACAAACAAGGCGAGTGATGTTGCTTTGAGTTCTATAGGTTTACAGAAAAGTAGTTCTTCTACTGCCGATATACCATCACAAAATCGGACATAGGCAATTAAATGAGCGTCTTTACTGCTATCTGTTGCCTCATCAAGCTGACTCGAAAACAATTTTGTTTGAATTTGAATTCAAACCGCTATGTCAAACAGCACGTTTGACAACCCACAAGAAATATATACAACGGAAACAGCCGAAGGCTGAACACGTCATACACTTTTATTTCATAAATAATAAAAAACCAACGCCTAAAAATAAACAATAACAATGCACAAGCCCTAATAAATAATTCTAATAGTTAAAATAATAAACAACTCACATAAATAATAATAATTAGATAATCCCTCCATAATCAAGCTCCCTTATTGGCCAAACGAAAGGGTTTAAGGCGTGTCGGCGCGGGAATAGAGCCAGTGCGTCTCTAACACTCAACGTGGAAAGACGAGAGTAGATTTCTAACACTCTGTGATGAAACGCGCCTCCCCTGCTCGAGCAGAAAAAGTCTGCATTTATTGCATACGCGGAAAGTAGTGCCTTTGCAACACACCCTTAACGGACTCGACCCGGGATTATCGGCCCGCGAGTCGCGACATTAAGAAACTACGTAAATTCTCTACATCGAGTGAGTGTGGGTTTCCCGCCTTAGTGCGTAGGTCAGCAAATCAGTGTAAAAAGTGCTAGTTGTAAGCAGGAAGCCCACCTACAGGTGCAGAGCCTGCACAGGTTCTTTTTTTTTGTTTATTTCCCCTTTCCTCTCTATTGAATAATTGTAAAAGATAACATAAATCGTTTGCCTGCAAGACCGGCATGTTTTGGCAGTGTTGCCACGTGTCACTAACTTCTTACCGACCCTTTTGATAATATAGAATGTTCAATGATTCCCAGTGCATTATTTTTCCCAATCACCAAGTGTTCCAGGATGCTCTCCCAGTGCAGCCATCGACGAAAAAAGTAATAGCGGCTTAACAAATGAACTACAGTCCGCTAGATGCCGTTTTAGGCTGGCTATTACATTTTGTGGTCCTTCGAGCCGGATCTGGCTCTAGTTATCTCCTCCCTATGGACAACCACCCCTTTTTTATGTCATTCACCCCAAATCTCAACTAACAAAACAGTCTTATGTTTCAACGCGTAATTGACAGTGTTTATCCTGTAATGGTTCTTATTCCCTCCACGATGACCCAGGACACCGCCTAGTGTTTTTTGGTGCCTCGAAAAGTTCAACAAAAGTGCCAAAAATAAAAATAAAACAAAAGTGAAAAATTGCTCTAAAAATTTCAGTGAAAAGTGCGATTTAAAGTGAAGTCTGGCAACGTCGCATCGCCAACGTCTTAAGGTAAACCGGCGAGTCGGTAACGCAGGGGAATCTCGCCCTTACCGCCATCCACCTAGGAACAAGTAAAGGAATCGGCGCGATATGGAGCGCGCAATCGATTATTCGCCCGGCAAGTAACTTGGAATCGATTCTGTGAGTACGAATTGTTGTTGTTTGTTTGTAAACCGATGACCCAATTTCAGAATGAGAGGTCAATGAACTTTATTTTTGCTATTTCTTTGTTTTTGTTTTGATTAAGTTGCTTTAAAAAAGTTCTCACTAAATATTCTTTGTTTGTACAACATTCAGTATATTAGGTACACATTCAAATCAAAAAATTTTTTGGTTTCACTTAAAGACTTATTTAGTTTTCTCGGGAAAATAAATTCAAACATTTGGTTCATATGTTTATATTGAATAGGTATATTTATATATATTATTGTTTTGTATAACGTGACAATAGGAAATTTTCGGGGACGTGATGTGTCTTATTTTTATGAAATTTCGCGTACTTGACAGTTGAAATTAAACTGGTTTTTTAATTATTTTGCACTTCGCTATTTCACTCATCCTTCTCACAATTTATTATTAATTAATCATGGAGGCGTTAAAGAAAACTAGACAATCCTTAAAAGGAAATATCACAAGGCTCTATAATTGGGCTATAACACATCATGCAACTGAAAATGACCAAACCCAGTTTCTATCACGAATTGATGATCTGGAAAATCATTTCTCAAAGTATAATACCACCCAAGATGCTATCGAAGAGTTAATTATAGATTCACTCGATAATACAGACACTGAAGACAGAACAGTGATCGAAACAAAATATTATGATACTTTGTCAGTCTTACGTAATGCCTTAACAAGAATAAATGTGCCACATGCTTCGATAGTAGCTCGGGTAGACACACGGCCTGCTGGCCCTCAAATGAATGTAAAACTCCCCGAAATAAGCATCCCTCCCTTTAGTGGCGATTCTCCGCAGCTTTGGAAGCCCTTTTACGAATTGTTTCACGCCCTCATTCAGAATCATCAATTATCAAATTCAGAAAGATTCTATTATTTAAAATCATTTCTTAGAAACAGAGCTTTAGACATTGTAAATTCACTAGCATTATCAGAAGATAATTTTGACATAGCAATAGGCCTGCTGAGGGATTGCTACGAAAATCCTAATAGAGCGGTGGGCCATTTATTCCATGAGCTGTTGGAAGTCCAAGCTATAACAAAATGCACCGCAGAGAATTTACGTAGGTTCGTTATTAATTCGAAAAAGTCACTCGAAGCCCTAAAAAATTTAAATTTAACGGCAGAGACTCTGTTTGGCAGTCTCTTAATACTCGTTTTAGAACAAAAACTTGATTACTCCTCGCGTCGCGGATTTCAAGAGCAACGACTTAGTAATGTCACGAATTTAGCGTCCATTGACGAATTATTTACTTTTTTGGAACGAAAATGCGTGGTGTTGGAAAATTTGACAGGTTTTGAACCCACTCCCGTTAAAAAATTCTCCCAATTAAAACCCGCGGTTAATCTACACACTCACATCAGCGCTTCAGCGCCTTCGACATCTCAACCGGCTACCCAGTGTATTTATTGCAATAGTAAATCACACAAAGTGTATATG